ATGATACATTCTTGGACTATCTGACTAATCACAGTCTAATTTTATGAGAGTTTATTTCGCTGTTGATAAGAAATTGACAAATTACAAGTAATGTGGTTATAAGGCTATCTTACACATACACACACGTATATATACAATATATATATATATATATATATATATATATATATTAAATTAGATATACAATATATATATATATATATATATATAATAAATTACTAGGTGTAAGTGGCATTTTGCCTTAACGCAAGTTACATCCCATACATATATTTAGGTTACAACTATTTTTGGAATGTTCGTTTTCCATGTTAAATTTAATTCTAGTTACAAAAAGAGTGCGCCGTAAGGTTCACACGCGATTGAAGTAAAAATTATTTGCTACTGTACAAGATGGCTTTTAAGTAAAAATAAATACATCATATAACAATTTTGAATAATGTTCATCAGTAATATGGTAACACTCGTGATGCACACATTTATTAGTGTCAACCATTATACAAATTTATACAATGATAAACTATAAATTAAATATTTATAATACCATTAAAATATGTATAATATTTAAAAACAATAATGTAATTAAAGTCATAGTTCTAATATGACATGATCGGTTTGTCATTGTAATTAGCATTTAGAAATGAACCTTACTTAGAGAAATGAAGTAATTGCTGATTTATAAATTCTTTAATATTCGTTCATACAGTGGATTATGTTAAACAACGCCTAAACAAATGTTGTTTTCGCAACTTCACTCACCATGTAATTGTGTTTGAAGAACTTCATGCAATTAAAATTAACATACATTCATTGACTGCTTGTATTTTTTTCACTTTTTCGTTGGCGATATAATTTCATTCTTTGAACAGCTGTAATATCTGTTTTGCCTAAAAAATATTTTCCATTTTAATATCTTCAAAGATTTATAGAATTTACGAATATTATAGAAATAATTTCTAATCAATAAACATAAGTTTAGTACACGGCACAAATGTTTAATTTTCGAGGAACATGGTAAAATATTATTCTGATTCAGGCATTTTTCATTAAATCAAGATTTGTACTACGATGTAACTTTAAAATCTTTATTTTCTATGCCGATTTCCTTGTTTATATCGGTACGCTTACAACGTTGATGCCGGTACATATACAACAACAGATCTCTATTCACATACACGACGACCAATCACAATCGACCCGTATTGAAATGATTTTATCGAGAGCGAATGACGTACAGTTCGGACGTATTTCCGTTGCATTCTCACAGATTTACACTCTAGTCGCGCCTAAAGAAGTTTTACTTCAATAGTAATGAAAATTACTAGGTGTAAGTGGCATTTTTTTTAAATGCAAGTCATGCACATCCTACAACTATTTTTTGGATGCTCGTTTGCCATGCGAAATTTAATTCTGGTTACAAAAATCATCAAAAATATATAAATGGTTAAAATTATATAAATGTTCTTGTGTTTCCATATAAAAAATATTATAAAATAAACGACATTTTTTCAAACTTATATAAAATATATGTATATAAGGACAACAATCTCTGAATAAAATATAAGTATGAAAATACTCCACGGTGTATGCAATCTTAAATTAGTGAGAATTGTGTCTTCAAGTTTTTATTATTGGTTTTTAGTTTTAAAAAAATTCTCATCATTTGTAATGTTTTGATGATATTTGTGTACAATACTAGATGTGTTTTAAAGGATCTGATGAATTATATTCGAGAACATGTTTCCAGTGAGCCAATTCCACTTAAATGGACCACCTAGATACGTAAATAACAAAACACACACGATTTGCAAATATATTTATACAAACTTAACACCTAGTAATTACGCTGTAACTACATTTGATCAATTTTCAAAAATTGTTTTATGCAGATTTAAACTGAAATTTAAACTAGTGGTGCATGGCATCGTTTTTAAGGCAAATTGCTGGAACTTTCCGTACCACAATTGAATCTTTGAGCAAAAAATTACTAATCCATGAATTTTTATCAATAATTAATATACAGTGACGACTTATTACTCAAAACACTTAAAGATGTTCACATTAAGATGAAATGCTGAATGAAAATATCTGAGGATATATTTCTCACGAATATGAAATATATACAGCTCTATACTGAATTATAAATTTAAAATTTATATTTAAAGTGAAAAATCAATTATAACTTTGTATATTTTTGATAATTTTGAAAAAAAAATCAGAAGATTTTGAAATTTGTTTGAACCGTATACGTGAACTTTAAAAATTAAAAATTTTGGTACAAAACTCAAAAAATGTAACAAAATTTGTTTTTATCATTAAAATATTATTAATTATTACTATGATTTTTTCTAGATGGTAGATACCATAGTCTTACAGATCATACTAAAATTTTACGGCCCTACGACAAATCGTTTAGCTTTAAAAATCCGTCAAAGTTTGCAAAAATTAGTATCGTTTTTTGGCATTTGTCAAAATTAGACATTTCATCGACGTTTGCTCAAAAACGCCTGAACCGATTTCAGAAATTTGAAGCCATTTGATGTATCTCAATGAGGACTATCGTTTATCAGTTTTGTGCGACGGTCTGCCAAGCCGTTTCTTTGTTTTTTGGAAAATAGTGTTACACTTTTCGTCCACATTTAAGCTCATTCTACCGAATCGATTTTAAAAAATCAAACTGTTCGAAAGATATTAGTTGGGAATGATACTGATTAGTTTTAGGTGAAAATCTACCGAGCCGTTTTTTTTTTGTAATTAACTGTTGAAAAAAAAAATTAAGTCGATTTTTATGGAACTTTCTTTGGCGATATATATCTTGGTCTTATAGAACCTACTGAAATATTAATGCTTTACGACAAGTAGTTCAATTTTACAAATTCATCAAAGTTTGAGAAAATCAGTAGTTTTTCTGACGTTAGCTAAAATTAAAATTAGACGATTTACTTGGTATAACGATAGAGTACTTGGTCTTAATGAACATACTAAGCCATTAAAGTCTTACGGAAACTGGTTCACTTACAAAAATTGTTTATTTGTGAAAATTTGCTTTTTGAAAATACTCCTAATTAACGTGTTCGTTCGTTTTCAATGATGTCTGTTAAACCCACTCGGAATACTTTTAATCACTCATAAATGAATTTATTTTTTATTGATTAAGTCAATTATTTACACATATCGGGAAGTTCATGTAACTTGCCTCAAGGCAATATACCAATACCAACTAGTTTATTGTCTATTTTCAAATACGTTTTCCTATTAAATTATCTTCTACCAGACTGTTTATGAATCGCTGATTTGAAAATCGTTATGATAGTTTGCGCCTCGTAAACCCATTCCGAACACCTCAGAATAGGTTTAGTGGTCCAACTCGAATGAAATGATGCTACTTGGATCATTAAGTATTTTTAGAACACTTTGTACCATTCTGTAGATGTATTTATCGATGTGACAAACTCGGCAGAAATGCTATTATAATTAGACCTATCTTCCTATTAATAGACACCATAAAATACCTAATCAGAAAATTGGCACTGTCGAATATTTGATAAAAATGTCATTGGTAAAAGATTTGGATGGGATGGAATTGGGTAAATATTTGTAATAAAATTAATTTTGGTAAGCATAATATTTTGTGGCAATGGGTACTGCTTTTTTGTCCACAAGGTAATATCCTAATCCTTGAAGAATTTAGTAATCAGTTAAAGGCTTCTGTTAATTACCATATTGGGCTTCTCCAATTATCTTGGAATTAGGGTTTATACAAAAACTGACATTTCAAAAAACCGGTTTTAACCGGTTTTCGAATTTTATATAGAAAATAAATTTTTGCTCGAATGTCCTGTAATTTATCCGCTAGTGTAATTTAGATCAGTATTTGACTGAATTTATTTATTGTTCAATTTTACAGATAATAAATAAAATTATTTTAATTTTAATTAGTAGAACAAAAACATAATAGTTTATCATGATTAAATAGCTTTGAAAATAATTATTCGCTATTCATGCATCATTTTCACATATAAGAATGAAAATATTGATATGGTAGTGAAAGGAAAGTTTTCGAATAAATAAAAATAACACATTTTTTAATAAAAAACACTCATTGAATTAAAAAAAATTAAAAAATATTAGATACATATTTATACATACTTGTTAATATCAATTTTAGTTTTAAAAACAATTAAGATAAACTCGGGTATTGTCTGTTCCGAACAATTTTAATTAATTTTAAACATTCTTATTGTTTTTTTGTTTAATAAAATATGGTTTCAAAAAACTAAGAACGTCTATCCAATTGCTACTTAGGCATGTCCTTTGATTACTGACAAAATTTTCTGAAATAGAGAATACTTTCATACTTGTGGCCAAATTATGCTTAATTGTTTTTAAAGCCTGATATAATAATTCTAAGTTTTTTGTTCTTTAATTTGTGACTTATAGGGTTTAATACTTTTTTTTAAGTTTGAGATAGGAAGTTACTTTTTCAAGAAGAAGTCACAATGATTTAAATTAATATATACACTGGTATAAACATCTAAATTAATATATACAAAACCTTTCTGGGAATCATTGCAGACTGATAAGATATCAAATGCTATTGAACCGATATGATTTCAAGAATCAAAACGCTTTCATCTATCTTTATTTGGATATATTTATCATATTTTCCATTTCTACAGTGAAAACCGACTTTTTTCACTAAAAACCGGTTTTTGAATTCCATAATTTTCGCCAAAAAACCGGTTTTAAAAATCAATGATTAAAGCTATGGTATGGGTTTGTTACCCGTCTTTCACAGCCAGATGTCAAGTAGTTGGGAATATATGTAGCAATATGTTTCTACGTAAAAATGAATACTTAAAAAATTATTAGCATTACAAAAATTACAATAATCAATTAATAACGTTACATAGGACAACCGTTTGGGTTGCCATCTGTGAAAAGCCACGTAGTTCGAACAGATCGATTAAGCTTTTTATTTAATTAATATTATTATTTTTTAGGTTTTTGATAAACATTGGCACAAAATTCACATCGGGGTGAATCACAACAGGGTCGAACTGTATGTGGATTGTGAAGAGGCTTCTTCTGTGCTTCTCAAACCACGGGGCGAGATCGATCCTCATGGAATTATTACTTTGGCGAAAATGGCAGCCAGTTCGCAGACCGTACCTGTGAGTAAAATATAAATCCTTAGAAAAAATATTTAAATAAAAATCTCAGAGTATTGGATAATAGATACCAATTTTAAACTTGAATGTTTTGTTTTTTTTTTTAAATTTTGTTTTAAATTATTTTCACGAACTAGAATAACGTGCAATAATATTTTAAATGGGTTCAAATAAGTACCTACTAAATTATCAAAAATATAAAAAATATATTATTGGCAAAGAAAAAAATCAAAATTCGAAAAGCTCTGATATCATAAAGGTTTTAACAAAGTAAAGGATTAGTTTTATAAATATCTCTTAAAACTTTCATAATTAAAATTATAAAATTTGTTGTAAATTACAATTAATTTAGATTATTTCAGTTCCATGTTCCTCGGGAAAAAATCATATAAGTAGTATCTAGTATTTTATTTTATATATTTTTTCTATTTCTATGACAAAATAATCTCATGTATTTATTTCAGATTTTGCAAATTATATGATATAATATTTCTATCATCTATTTTTATCTTTTTCATCTGCAATAATTTCACATAAATTGCTATGTGCACCAACATTTAATATGAACAGCAAATAAACTTATTATTAATATTGCTAATTTTTGCTGGAACCACATTTTTATATGACATATGTTGGGTGCTTTATGTGTTCATTTATTAAATTTTTATTTGTCATATCATTATAATATATACTGTGAATTAATTTAGCAATTTTATAGGAGAATTCTATATACTATGTTAATGCACTATTTAATTTTAACAAAATGTTTTTTTTTTTTTTGTTGAGAATAATTTTTTAATTAAAATTATTAACCAATTTTTTTTTAAATAATACTAGTCGAGTTTTAATTTTAATTTTAATATACAAAATATTTTCTAAAAAGTGAAACTTATCCATACAAATTTTACTTTTACAGATTTCTCAACTGGTAAGTTCATTTCTTGCATTTCGACGTCTTCATACTAAATGTGATTTTATTTTTAAATATTTTAATTATTAAATTTGAGTCATTTTTTGAACTTATGAAATAATATAAGTACTGATTACAATCTGTGTATATTACTAAATTAAATTATTAAATAAAATTAATTAAAATGCCATAAATAAAATCACATTTGTGTAATCATGTGTAATTTTTGCTCAACATGGTGAACCTAATAATTAACATTTGAAAAATCATTAATATTATTTATATTTTTTTAAATACATAATTAATATAAAAATAATAATAATTCATCAAGCAGAGTTATTTGTTCATAATTTATTGCTTCATGTTGGTTTTGCTTGCAAAATATTTATCTCAAGTAGAAAAATCATTTTCTGAATTGTTAACAAAAATGGCTTGAATTTTCTTACTAACGAAGAATAAACTTGTAATTATTTCTTTGGCAAGAATATTACTTCAATAATTTATAATTTAATTATGTAATTTATTAAATATATTTCTGAAGTAAAACTTCTTTAGGCGCGACTAGGGTGTAAATCTATGAGAATGCAACGCTCTCGATTAAATCATTTCAATATGGGTCGATTGTGATTAGTCGTCGTGTATGTGAATAGAGATCTGTCGTTCAACGTTGTATGCGTATCAATATCAATAAGGAAATGGGCTTAGATAAATAAACATTTTAAAGTTACATCGTAGTACAAATCTTGATTTAATGAAAAATGCCTGAATCAGAAGAATATTTTACCCTGTTCCTGAAAATTATAAAACAAATTAAATATTTGTGCCGTGTACTAAACGTAAGTTTATTGATTAGAAATTATTTCTATATTATTCGTAGCTTCTATAAATCTTTGAAGTTATTAAAATGGAAAATATTTTTTAGGCAAGACAGATATTACAGCTGTTCAAAGAATGAGATTATATCGCCAGCGAAAAAGTAAAAAAAATACAAGCTGTCAATGAATGTATGTTAATTTTAATTACATGAAGTTCTTCAAACACAATTACATGATGAATGAAGTTGCGAAAACAATATTTGTTTAGGCGTTGTTTAACATAATCATTGCATTTTCACGGATTTACACCCTAGTAGCGCCTAAAGAAGTTTTACTTCAAAAAAAGATTTACTTTTATAGAAAATTTGTTGCATGTAACATAATATTTCTCATTTAATTCTAACAGCATGCTATAAGTATAATAATATTTCTCCATCACATTTTAGTGGCATGAAGTGTGGTTTTCTCAATTCTTTATAATAATTTATTTATAAATTATATTTATATTATTATTTTTGATTTATACAGATTGATTTGCAATGGATGCTGATCAGTTGTGATCCTCATACACCAGAAAAGGATACTTGTGATGAACTGCCGGTAATGTTAATATTCTTATATATAAAATTCTTCTGTACGGGTGTATGATTTGATACTTCTCCTAAACGGTTATTCGGATTTTGATAATTCTTTTTGGAGTTTGTCAAAGAAAATTTTTAATATACAATGAACGATAAAACTATAGTAATATTGTAGAAATAAATGGCAAAAATTACAAAAAAAAACACTTATCACTGTTTGACATTGAAAACATTTGCTAAAAATGTCAATTCATTGAAATTTGAATTTGGCTGAAATTATGAGTCTAGATAATATTAGAATATAACATGCAAGAAAAATGCAATGTCTACATTATTATTGCTGAAAAGCAGCTGAGATGTGCCAAAAATTAAAATAATATAAGATGCAGTCAACAGTATATGTTTGGCAGATGAAATTATATAATTCAGTTTAATAAATAACGCTATAAGTCCACAATTGCATATACTATTTTTTCTGAATTTCTTATACTGTTCATGCTAAGATCATAAATGAATTATAATGGCAGGACATCAAATTATTAAAAGTATAGGATAGGATATTAAAATTAAAATTTCGAACTGTTGAATTGTAGACTTGGGTACAGGACAACGTCTGTCGGGTTATCTAGGTTATTTATAAATATTATAATGAAACAAATAATTTTGCTCATTTTGTTAACTTTAATGAATTTGTCAAACAACTTCCTGAATTTTAAGTCCTATTAATAAAATGCTTCTAGAAATATACGACATCTATAAATCTGCAAATAATGCCCAATATAATTTATTTCAATTAGTAAGTATTAATTATCATGCTAATTTTTTTATTATAATTTTAGAGAGTACGACAAACAGTATCCTTGTTAAGTCCTGCCGAAGGAATGTGCGACACTGTATGTCCTCAAGGACCTCCTGGTTATAATGGAACTCAGGTAACATATAAATATAATTTAAAATTTTTAAATTATTTTTATAAATTTTATTTTCTAAATATTAAAATTTCTGTAAATATTCATCAAATTGATATAGGTGACCGTTGGGTTGCCATCTACAAAGCCATGTTCTTTAGAAGTCATCAAAACAGCTCATAGACCTCTTTGGGGATCGTCTATTAATCACGTTAGGTTTTTAGGGGAAGGGGGGATATCACCAAGGGGAAAGGGGGAGGGGAAATAATTTTGAATATGACCACATATTACCAACTAGAAAAAAAAGATAATTTTGAATATGACCAAGATCACCAAGACGAAAGGGGGTCCAAAAAAATCGATCACGTGATTAATGGACGCCCCCTTAAGTTCTAATTGCTGTTAATATCACAAATATACATATGTCAACAAAAATAAATTAAAGCACTAAATATTATTATTTTTCATTAAATATATTAAATATTTAAAATATCAAAAACCTAAGCTAAAATCTGTTTTTTTGTATTTGGGAATATATTATAGTCGTTTGCTCACTAAAAACGATAAAGATAGTAACGATAGTAAACGAGTATAAATATTCATTTTTATAATATTTGTTTAAAGAATATTTAATTTTTGTATGAAAAATGGTCCCTTAGTCGTACTATTAATCTTGTAGTAGATTTTAAAAATATCGCATCAAAATTGATAATATTATATGAATTTATCAAAATCAATGAACAATTTTTAAGCCTAAACTTACAAATTACTAATTGCAATGAATGTAAGTAATCCCTTCAAGAGTCTAAAATTTAGGGTCCTCAAGGTGATATTGGACCACCAGGTCTACAGGGGATACCAGGAACACCAGGCGAAGCAGTATGTTGAAAAAATAATTAAATTTTTATATTTTAGGAATAATTGGGAACACTTTACTGGTGCATTTTTGACCTATATTTTTTATTAACGAAATTCTGATAGATTTTCAGGATGAAGAACAACTTCTACTACAAAGTTGATGCTTGTTGGATAAAAAATACAATTAATATTTAGACAATAAAGTCATTTAGATAAAATTGTCATCAACTGTTTATCATAAAATTCAGTGGGTTCAATACTAATCATATTATTACAAATATTTATCTATTTAATTTATAACTTTATTTTAGGATCTTATATTCTAATCAAACTCAACACCTTGGTTAAATGTCTTGAAAAAACAAGAGATACTTATTACATAATGATTATATGACATCATTACCAATTCTAAATTTATTAACGCATGCTTTGGGTCTTATTTAATATTTATTAGGGTCGTCGTGGGCCACCTGGCCCAATTGGACCTATCGGAGAGCCAGGTTTTCCAGGACCACCTGGCCAGAAAGGTTCTTTGGGTCTGCCTGGGAGAAGAGTATGTATTATTGATACTAATATTAATTTCAGTTTTTTTAATTAATATTTGATTAGAAATCACGTAGTTATAATTAACTTGGGTAAATAATATACAAAAATGCTAAAAACATAAGTGCAAGTTTAAACATTTTAGTACATCCAGCATTTTTAGAAACTTCTCCATATCATCAAACTTGAATTTTGATTCAAGACAACTTTTGATTTGTGCCAACTGATCTTAAAGAATTCCGTCGGTCGGAGTGGTCTGCCTGGACCACACATTTTTTCGTCCTTTTTCATTGATCGACAGCTAATGAAATTTTAGGAAAAGTCCAGCAATTTCAAGTCGGTAGGATTACTAAAAGTATTTTTTTTTCAAATTGAAGTCGAAAAAAGTCTGGCCAGACCACTTCGACCGACGGGGGGTTAATTATAACAACTGAAATTTTTTTATTAAAAATATTAAATTATTATCATGCATCTACATTTTGCATGCCAAATAAACGATGCGTTAAATATTTTGAAAAACTCGAAAGAAAATACTTTACCCTAACTAAATCCAATTTATAAAAATTATTGAATACTTCTTTTGTATTACTAACCAAAATCACCAAAATTTTACAATTGACAATTTTTAATTCTGTTATTTGATTAATTTAGGGAGCAACAGGATTACCAGGTTTTCCTGGTCCTCCAGGTCTGATGGGACCTCCTGGACGTGATGGTAATGATGGCGCACCAGGACCAAAAGGAGATACTGTAAGTTATAAATTCTATATAAAAAGTATATATTAGTATAAATTGAAACATTTTTGAATTATTCTGTCGAATTTAATGTAAAAAAGTATATACCATTATCTGATTATAAGACAAATTATTTATATACTAGCTGACCTAGCTGAAATTATAATTGGAAAAATGTTATTCAACAAAATGTCCCTTTGATCGATACCAAATTTAGGTTCTGAATTTAAATAACAAAAATAAAAAATAATATAACTTAGAAAATGTTTTAAAAATACCAATTAGTATATAATTATACATATGAGATCTTTAAGAGCACCGTGTTTGAGAAAAATATGATTTGCAAAAAAACGTGCTACAACGCCAAAAAGTGCATTTTCATATGAACTTTTCAAAAAAGTTGATATTTTGAGTATCTAGTAACACTTGCGATCCGTTTAATAACGTTTTTGCGTATAAATATAACTACGAACAAAACTTACTTCAATTTAATCATAATTAAATAATATTCACGTAAAATTAATTGAATTGAATTGAATTGAAATTAATTAATTGAATCCTATTAAACTTAATTGAACATCATCTGTCAAAAACGTTTGACATTTGACGTATTAGCCACCGTCCATTGTTTTATTCAAATTACGCTTCTACAAAAAATTTCAAATTAAAAATGTAAAGTTTCTATGCGATTTTGAAATAATATCTCACCTTTCCGATAACCTATTGATTAGCAAGAATTTTTCAAGACTAACTCTGGCCAAATCGGTTTAGCCGTTTTCGAGTTTTAGCGGATCATTTTATCGAGAGCTCTATTTTTATATATAAGAAGATATATATAAAAAATGAGCGCTAAAAATAATCATTTCTTATCTCTAGATTAGAAATATAAATCTCGTATTTTATTATTCCAGGGTGATAGAGGATTTCCTGGTGTAGATGGCATTCCTGGAGCACCAGGCTTACCAGGACCTCCTGGATTGCCAGGACAAAAAGGAGAATCAGGTTATTTGGAAGCAGGAGCACTTCTAAATTCAGTTGCTGGACCTGAAGGGCCTCCGGTATAAACTTTAGTTAGATTATCACATACATTGGTTCATCAAAATCATTAACATTTACATTTCGACTATCTTATTAAATTTTATGCTATTGAAGTATTCAGAATCATAAGTAAACGGTATTTATTTACCTTGATATAAAGTATTTTTTTAATAGTTTCTTTTTTTTAAAATTGTTTCCCATTTAGGGTCCGCCTGGTCAACATGGTTTACCCGGACTTCCCGGCAGAGATGGATTAGATGGCTTGAAAGGTGAACCAGGTTTTCCAGGAGAACCGGGACCTCCAGTAAGTATTGAAATTCAGATAAAGGATTTGATTAAATCGATTAATATTAATTATTAAAAATACAAATAAAAGATACAATTATTCCTCCATAAATTGAAATTCTTATTATAATTCTATTAATCTTTATAAAATTACAACATTAATTATAATTTTTCCAGGGACCCCCAGGCTTGGTAACAGAAGTTTTTGGCAGCAGAGGAACTATAGAAGGTCCTCCTGGACCTAAAGGAGACCAAGGTAATTGTAATAAACTAACAATTTAGTATATCAATTATTAAATTTGAGGAGTTTTTTTAAATCATATAATTTTCAACTCTCTGATTTTTAACTCTTACATATGTAAATTATTTTTATTAGGTGAACGTGGCTTTGATGGTCTTCCTGGTTTACCAGGAGAAAAAGGAGAACGAGGTTTTGACGGTATACCTGGAAGGCAAGGCACGCCTGGAATACAAGGCAATCAAGGATTACCCGTAAGTTTTTGTTTTGTCAATTTATCATAGATGTTGGTACAAATTATTCTAATATTCTAATTGGTATTGATAATATGAATTTGTGTTATCGATATTTTATTTTTTACATACGGAATTTTATTTTCATTATGATTATGGCAAAAATATACTTTCAGGGTGTTTCGGGACCAGTAGGTCCAGCTGGTCCTAGCGGTATGAAGGGAGAACCAGGAGAACCTGGACCACCAGGAATTCCAGGTGATATATTATATGTAATATTTTTATTTTAATTGGTAGATATGAAGGTAAATGATTTATATATGGGTTAACTCAGTGGTTTCAAACCTGTGGGGCGTGCATCCTCAGGTGGGCGACTGGTTGTTACAAGGAGGGGCGCGTACAGCACTTTCCAAAATAGTATTTTCGAAAATAAACCAAAAATTTAGAATTAATATAAAAAATAAACTAAAGTTTTTCACATATTATTGCATATTAATTTGTGGTCTGATAATATCAGTTGAGTATTTATGAAATAAAATTGTTGAAAAAATTAAGGGAGGCGCAACAAATTTTATATTTCAGGGGGGGGGGGCAGAGCGCGGTGCGCAAAAGGTTGGAAACCACTGGGTTAATTGTGAAAAACAATTTGAGATTCTTTAATATTTTTTTAATAATAATATCATTTATGTAGTACATCAATGTAAGATCTTTATATCCTGTATTCTTAAAGAACACTATCCATATTAAATAATAATAATAGATGAATAAAATTTATTTTAGGAGGTTCAGCCGTTGGTGAAACTATTAGCTTACCAGGTCCAGCTGGTCCTCGTGGTCCTGCAGGTCGAGATGGAACGAAAGGTGAACGAGGCGAACAAGGTCCTCAGGGTCCCCAAGGATTGCCAGGAATAGAAGGAGCTGCGGGAATGGACGGATTACCGGTGAGGAATTACCCTAATTACATTGAAATCTATAAATTTTTAATTTTTATATTTAATAAAATTAGTTATATAATTATTTTTACTCTGGTTTTTATTAATATACTTTTTTGTAAATAATGATACTTTGTAGATTTTGTTAAATATTCTACTATATCAGTTTAAGGCCAGGATGCTTCCAACTAATACATTGTTATTGTTTTTAAAATGTTTTTATTGATTTTACGTTCTATCAATAGATATACTAAGCATTTGCAAATAATGTTAGAAATGTTACAAATAGACGTGAAGACAAATTATTTGCACTAATTATAAATTTAGTACTATCTTTTGTACTATCTGCAAAAGCTATTTGTTATACTACAGACTACTTATATGTATCGTACTAATCTATATATAATTTTTTTATTAGGGTATTCCCGGAGCACCAGGCGAAAAAGGCGAACGGGGTACCGATGGAGTTCCTGGACGTGCTGGAAGGGATGGAACACCTGGAGCGGCAGGACCATCAGGACAGAAAGGAGATCGAGGTGATGAGGGTCCTCAGGGACCAGTTGGTCCGAGGGGATTATCAGGCAATCAGGTATAATAATTACAACATAACTATCCATCCAATATTAAACTGTCTTTAATCTAATTTAAGAAAATAATTCGAAGTAATTAATAATTATTTTTTATTAGATCTAATATTTTTTGCAACCGCATCCAAATATGTTAATTTTTCGACTCATTCGCATTAAATGACAAATGAAATATTAAGATCTATAGGAGAGATAAATCATTTCAGAATATATTAAAATCCATTACTATGTTCAGAATCAGATAGACAAGCAAATACAAGAAATTAGAAGTCTGTAGATACATTTTATTATGTTTTTTTCCTCAGGGTTTGGTTGGTTTGCCAGGTGCTCCGGGAGTATCAGGCGCTCCTGGCCTCTCAGGTCCAAGTGGTCCGCCAGGACCTCCGGGACCTCCCGGACCTCCAGGAGATCCAGCTCCGCCGGCAGGACCGGCTTTGCTGGTATCCGGAGACGGAAGTGGCGTTGGTATACCTGGTGCAAGTGGACCACGAGGTCATCCAGGATCTCCAGGAATGGTAAAATAGACAGAAATATTTAGCAATATACAAGATTAAAAATTTTAGATGGATTTAGTTTACATAATATCTAATGGTTACTTCAATTTATTAAGCCTGGAGAACGAGGCGCAGCAGGCGATAGAGGTCCCGAGGGACCATCTGGTTTACCAGGTATGCCTGGAAAAGAGGGGCCACCAGGAATGCCAGGACCTCCGGGACAAAGAGGGCAACCCGGATTTCCGGGACAACAAGGACCTCCGGTAAGATAAAACATAATTATATTGATATAAATTACCAATAAGCGTTTGTTCTTCAAATAAATCAGACAAAATAGTAGTTAAACAGAGTTTTTTTTTGTATAGCGAAGGAAATGCCTTTATGCATCTCAGACTAGGTCTTTTGTTTGGGTGTGTCGGACTCAATACCGTCCTGGTATAATACCGACTAAAACCTCCGCTTTGTCCTTGCCTCTGGTCCCCACGGAAACCGCCGTTAGGCATTACTTCGTGGGGGAGGATATAGAATGTTATCATTCTTATACTGATTTTATACTCATCTTTTAAATACCTTACAAAAAATAGATGTGGGTTTGTGTGTGTCTATTTTTTGTATAGCGAGGAAATGCATTTATGCCTTGCAGAATAGGTCTTTTGTCTGGGTATGTCGGACTCAATACCGACTAAAACCTTCTCTTCACCCTTGCCTCTAGTCCCCACGGAAACTGCCGTCAGGCATTACTTTGTGGGGGAGGATCTAGAATGTTATCATTCTTAACTTGATTTTATACTTACTTGTTGTACAGAGTAATTACAAATTTTGTAATATCAGATACTAGATATGTTTCTAAATCTTTTTTTTTATTATGAATATATTGATAATTTTTTAAGAATTCTATCTTTTCAGGGAAAATCATTTACTGAAGCTGAAGTAAAAGATATTTGTATGCAAGTCTTACGTGGTGAGTCATTTGTTTTATATATAATATATATATAACTAAATAACCATTAAAATTTGATTTTTTTCCTAAACATTATTATGCTCGAATATTATTTTAGAACAATAATAAACATAACTAAAGATAACTTTTTATATAAAAATGTAATACTACCAAACTATTATACAAAAAATGTTATTAACATTCTAGAGTATTTAATTATTAAATATATAAATTTAAAATATATGAAGAGTTCAAAATCTAGATACTAAAGTGACTAAAGTAAAAATGTATTTTTTTAATTCTATTAAATTATAAATTTTAATTTATAGTGTCTATAAAAATAATAAATTTGTAGGTCTTAAACAATTTGCTACTATAACAAGTTTTTATTTTAAAAAAATTTTCCTATTTATTTATTTTTTAAGTGTAATTTATTTAATCTATATAAAGCAGTAAGTATTTAAATTATGTGATAAATTTATTTTATTTAAAATCTAATGTGCGCCTATAGATCAGCTGAGCGACATCTCCGCCAGTATGACTGGTCCTCCTGGTCCACCAGGCCGGTCCAGGGTCGGACGGCCAGGGCCACCGGGCTTACAAGGGCCCACAGGTACCTTATAACTGCACAGAGAAAATCATGATCATTAATAATAATGTTTAGTGCGGTTCTGGTCATATGGCATTTCAACATTGTTGATTTCGAAATGATATCACAGATCAAAGAAATATAATAATATAAATACTATACTCAGTATAAAAAATTATATATCTGGGATGGTAATTTCAATGAATTTTAAGGGATTTTTATAATAGAAAGTTTTTATTAAAATTTCAAACAAAATTCAATATTAATAAGTACCAATAATTATATTTCTTTGGCCTGTGATTTAATGCCACTTATGTATAAAATAATCATACATAAATATGTAGAAGTAATGATCAATAACATTAAGCATATTGACAGAAGGTATTTGTAAAAAAAACTAGTGGTGCATGGCATCGTGCCTTAAGGCAAATTGCTGGAACTTCCCGTACCCAAAATCAAAATTTTTAAAAAAGATTCTAGATTTTATTTTAGAACCCTGAAAATTTGTGTCCGCACACACTACCCGATAATTGAAAACGAACGAACACGTAAACTCGGAGTATTTTCTAGAAGCAAATTTTCAAAAGTCGATAATTTTTATAATTGAACCAGTTTCCGTAGGACTTTAATGGTTTAGTATGTTCATCAAGGTCAAGTACTCTATCGTTATACCAAGTAAATCGTCTAATTTTAATTTTAGCAAACGTCAGAAAAACTACTCATTTTCTCAAAGTTTCATGAATTTTTTAAATTAAATTACTTGTCGTAAGGCCGCAATATTTTAGTATGCTCTATAAGACCATGATATATATCGCCAAAAAAAGTTCCATAAAAATCGGCTTAAATTTTTTTTTTTCAACTGTTAATTACAAGAAAACGGCTCGGTAGATTTTCACCTAGAACTAATCAGTATCATTCTCAACTAATATCTTTCAAACAGTTTTTGAATTTTCAAAATCGATTCGGTAGTTTGAACTTAAATGAGGACGAAAATTTAACACTTTTTTCAAATTACAAAGAAACGGTTTGGCACATCGTCTCACAAAACTGACAAACGATAGTCCTCATTGAGATACATTAAATAGCTTTTGAATTTCTGAAATCGGTTCAGGCGTTTTTGAGAAAACGTCGATCAAAGGTCTATATTTGACAAATGCCAAAAAAACGATACTAATTTTTGCAAACTTTGAAGAATTTTTGAAATTAAACGATTTGTCGTAAGGCCGTAATATTTTAGTATGATCTACAAGACTATGGCATCTACCATAAAAAAATCATAAAAATCGTCGACATTTTTTTTTTAAACTTTATTACAAGAAAACGGCCCGGATGATCTTTACCAAGAACTAATCAGAACGTTTTTTCAATTTTCAAAATCGATTCATAATTGCGGGCTAAAACGTGGACGAATAATTTTTTACTTTTTTGCGATTTACATAGAAACGGCCAGGCCGATCATCGCACAATACTCAGAAACGCTAGTTCTCATCGAAATACATCGAGTGGCTTTTAAATTTTTGAAATCGGTCCAGCCGTTTTGGAGAAAACGTCGATTTACGGCAAAAAATCTGTTCACATACACCCACACACACACATACTTTCTCCAAATTTGGTCTCATTCGATTCAGAATGGCTTGAAACGTCGAGAAAACATAAAGTTTCACATAACCTTCGGGAAGTTAAAAATAGAAAATGCATCTTTTACGTAATGCGTTATATTTGTTAATTGATCATTACTTCTACAAATTTATATACATTATCATACATTAGATATTTTTATACATAAAATCATTTGTGGGTGTCCAATTCATGAAATCCTATGTTCATAGCTTTTCAGTTTTTGCAGTAACGGAGTTGTGCAGTGTCTTCTATAGAAACAATTGAATCAGCAATAGTTGTGTTTTCATGATACAACTATTTCTGCTCTTAATTAATAATTATAAACAAAAACCAAACCGTGTATCAAACATACTAACATATTTCCTTTTTTCTGCTTTTTGCATGTCCCGCCAACAAAAAACAAATACAATACCACCAAATCGACCAAATCTTCTCTTCATCATCGACGTGAAAATTTCAAATCACCCGCCAAATTACACACACCATAAACGATTTTTAACGGAAAAATATGGGGGATTTACTTCTTTATTTTCTTAACGGGAAAAAGTTCGACTTAAGGAATTATTGTCCGGTTTGAGAGGACCAATCGGGCTGCCTGGTAGATATAGAAATGGACAAACCGGCCTGCAAGGGCCGTCAGGAATACCAGGTTCGGATTCCAAAATTGTTTGTTGTTTATTCCGGGGTGTTGGACTGATTTTTTTTTTAATTTCAAATTTTCACTCCTCTTGCTTGAATTAATTATATTTGTTGCTGAAACTTACTTGACCTAAACTACTAGATAATAAACTTACTCCCCGAACAACTTTTCTTAAATTTTCAATACTTTTTCCTTATTTTCGGCAAATAAACATTTGGATAAATATTGGCATCATAGTAAAAAGGGCGAAATATCACTCTAAACTCTAAACATCATAAAAAACTTTCCACTTACTAACTAATCTTCCACCTAAATTAAAAAAACTTTGTCATATTTATGAATTATGTGGATCCTTTCCCTTACTACCTAATTTTTACCAAATTTACTCTCAGCTGAATTAGTTCTCATAAAATGAATATCAAATTCTTGATTAAAATTAACTTGAAACTTGAAACTTTGAGATATCATTTACTATAAAAAATTAATATTTCAAATCTGCCCTCTATTTTTTTTTCCAAATATCTGCTGTTTATCCAGAATTGTTCAAAATTTGTCCAGTGCCCTGGTTAGACTAAATCTTTGTTTCTTTCGGTTTTGTAGTTGTCGCATGATATTTTAGTCAAATCTGATCATATTGATGATAAATTTCAAGCAAAAACTACAAGGTTGTTTTTTTATACCAGGTGTCCCAGAACTCAACGTCAATCCCAAACGGGGCGTAACTATCATGAAAAAATTAGAAAAAAAAAATCCATGAAAATTGTGAGCTAATATTAATACTTTTGTTCATTTAAACTTTAGGTTAAATAACATTTCTAGAAGCACAATTAAAATATGATGACACCTAATTTTTTAAAGAATTTACGTTTTCAAGATTGGTCGACTTTGAAATGAAAGCCCTTTTTGAAAAAAGATAAAGCTAAAGTGTGTTGAGTTCTAAGACCCCCTGTAAAAAACTGGTCTTTATGTAACCTGTAATTTTAAAAAAATCCAGTGATAAAACTGCAAATTTAGATATAGAGCAATTTTCTAAAAAATTTGCCAGGAGTTGGATAAAGATCAAAATCTGTACGTTGGCCGATTTGTTAAGGAATTTATTATCATGACACCTAAATTTAGTCCATTATATTAAGGCCGTTTTATATATTATTCTATGCCCTACAATTTTGTTTTAAATTTATATTTTTCATGCATGTTTTATATTTTGCATTGTATAAAATGGCCTAAAAATGCCTTAGATCATCTGACAACTACAGAATTCGTGCTTTTTCTGTATTTAGCACGTCTGACTATTTATCTTATGTTTGAATGTGCTTTTAAAAATTACACCTCGATATTGAATGTATTTATTTCAATCTTGTTTAGTAATTATCAGTCCATGATAAGGTCAAAATTAAGGTAGAATAAATTTCTATATGTAATCAGCAGCTCGTTGGATTCGTTAAAATATAATATGATTGTTTATAGCAATCTCTTGTTTTTGCATTACTTGTTTCCGGCCAAAAGACAAGAAGATTTTTCCAAAAAATATCAAATGCCACGCAAATATCAATTTATAGTTGAAATATGACGGTAAATAATTTAAGAAAATGTACATTGAAATCTGGCAGTTCTAAATGTCCATTAATTTTGGCCAGTTTGAAAAAAATCGTAATGTACTAGTACATTACTACTTTTTTTAAACTGGCAAAAATAATTGGACATTTAGAACTCCCAGCTCATTATTTTACATGGAGAAATTCTAACTTGTATCTTGTACCATTATAATTTACAGGGCAATTGTCTATTATTCAGTAATCAATTAATTAACTGCTTTTAAATATATAAATATACTAGCAGACCCGGCGAAAGTTGTTTTGCTAATTAAGGTATATTCTAAACAATTTCTATAGAAAATATTAATACTTTAAGTGTATAAGGATGTGTTGTTTGAATGCTATATACAATGAGGTATTATAAAAACTTTAAAACGCTATGTTATGGCAGAATTGCCCCATTATTGAAGGTACCTCTTAATTTCTTGAACAAATAGCAAACAAAATGGCTTATATTATGCATAACCGATTTATTTTTGTGTATTGAATGTGTATTGAATTTTGCTTGCTTTTGGTTTCAGGGTGTCAGTATTAACTTCTTTCATCTATCGTTAACTCTTGGTCAATGCATGAAAAACCTAAATTTATTTTGGATAACTTGCAAAAAGCAATAAAGAGTCACTTTTTTTATCTTCAATTATTAATATTTTTAATCATTCAAAAGACTGATTTAAGTGATGCATTTATTACATGCACGTTGTCCACAATAGCATTTGTTCTTGTTCATTTTATATATATATATATATATATTTAAAATATTTTGCTAATTTTGATTTGATATTTTATTTTATTTACATTTCATGCAAACAAATTTATTATTAGTATTGGATCATAGTTCAGTAACGTTTTCCAAATTCATCTCAAATTAACCAAAATTTTACTTGGAAAGTAAAAAATCTAGAACAAAATATTTGTATTATCATGATAAGACATAAATAATGTGAAATTCAAAATTAATCTGAGCAAAATATTTTTATTTTATAGTAATCGCAAAAAAATCGAAAATGAAAATTTTTGCATTTCTCGACGTTTCAAAACCTTCTGAACATTTTGGCATACCTTAGAAAAAATGGATGTATGTGTGTGTGTGTGTGTGTGTGTGTGTATGTATGTATGTATGTATGTATGTATGTATGTATGTGTGTGTATGTATGTGCGGATACAAATTTTCGTCGACGATTTCGGGAACACGGATCAACCGATTTGAATAATTCAAAAAACATTCGATTCGTATTGATAAGGAGACGTGCTGATTAGTTTTTGGCAAAGGCAGGTCTAGCCGTTCCGAAGATACGGGGCAAAAAGTGCCACGAACGGTACCTCCGTTTTTAAGAGAACGGAGCGTCCGATTTGAATAATTCAAAAATCATTTACTTGTATTGACAAGAGTAGAATTGATCAATTTTCATGGAGGTAGGTCTAGCGGTTTCGGAGATAATGAAAAAAAGTAAAAAATAATGCCATTCGGCGGTTAAAAATTATCATTAGACATATGCACATCAAATTATCAGATATTTTATAGAGATTTAACAATAAGTATATTGTTTTTTTTTACATTTTTATGGGTTCCGTACCAATGCTTATGCGTTGGACGCGGCGCGGCACATGCGCGCTTTGATATTTCGTCTCTATGCAGTTCAAAGCAGTGCGATTGCTTTGAAAAAAAGTTCAGAATTTGTCAAAAAAATATGTCAAAATGAAAAAAACATTTTTTTCAAAAAAAATTTTTGTATCCAAAAAAAAATTTTTTTTTTTCATATACATTTTTTTTTTCAAAAAAAAGTAATTTTTTGTCAAATTTGTAGTTTCTCAAATCTATTTTTTTTTGATTAAATTTTTTTCAAAAATGTTAATCGTTTTTAAAAAAATAATAATTTTTGGTACGGGAAGTTCCAGCAATTTGCCTTAAGGCACGATGCCCTAATTGCCTTAAGACAGAATTCCACTTACAGCTAGTTTTATTTAATTTACACAGTTGATTTTATTATCTATGAACTTTAACAGGAGATCAAGGTCCTCCTGGCTTGCAAGGCGAGCGAGGATTCGCTGGCCTTCCTGGTCCACCTGGACCACCAGGTAATCCAGGACCTCCTGGTGAAAGAGGAGATAAGGTAATGTAAAATACAAAACATAAATTTATATAGATTATTAAATGATATAAGTTACTAGTAATGATTGAGCTTTTAGCCAAGTCTCAATTTTATTTAATTTATTTACTATTGTTAGTTTATTTATTTTTGTTTTTTTTTTTAGGGTGACCGAGGTCCAGAAGGAGTAGGCCGGGAAGGCCAAATGGGTCCAAGAGGTCCTCAAGGCCCACCTGGTAATGACGGTTTAGGAATACAAGGAAGACCTGGCGAAAGAGGAGAAAGTGGTAGACCAGGTAAATAATTACAACATATTGTAAAACTTCCTCACAAAAATATATTTATATAAATTTATCTTCTATATATATAAAAATTCGAGTAATGACATTAGTGAGAATTATCAGAATTATGCTTGGTTAAGTCAACGAACAATTCTTGCCGCCAAGAAATATGATGTACACGCACTGATTTACACCTTTCAATCAAAAATTGCTGGCGATTTGGTGACATACCAATCATTCTGACTGGTCTTCCGTTTGACTTCAAACGATTGCAATTTCCAGTTCGCCTTGCGTTTGCAATAACATGTCGCAAGGCCAATCGCTTAGTGTTTGCGGGATAAATTTCAAATAGATTATTTATAAAAAATCATTGGGTTTCACTGTTGTATAATAAAATCAAATTTTTCCTTTTCAAATATAAAACAAACAAAAAATTTGAATCTTCATTTTTCTCACGAAACCATCTGGTGGCGAAACGGAGTTCGTCGGGTTTGCTAGTATAAGTTATATTTCACTTAGAGGGCGTCCATTAATCACGTGAGGTTCTTAGGGGAGGGGGGTTTGACAAAAAATGACGAAACATCACGTGGGGGACGGGGGGGTATACTAAGATATCACGTGTATTAATTCTTTATCGAAGTTTTTTTAAAAAATCCAAACATTTTCAAAAAGAAATTCAAAAATTTTACATTTTTTTTCATAACTAAAATACACGTGAAGGGGGGAAGTTAATTTTGAATATCACCATGTATCACTAAGGGGGAGGGGGAGTCTAAAAATTCTTAAAAAATCGACCACGTGATCAATAGACGCCCCAATTAGTCATCTATTGGTCATTATTTTGACCAATTGTTTATTAATTAAATTTTATTGCTACAATTTGAGTTAACTAATGAAAAATTTTATTGGAAAAATCTAAAATAAAAATAGTTATAAATTGAAATGATTTAATATAAATAAATTCCCAGGTACTCCGGGACCCAGAGGCGCTCCTGGACCCCAAGGAGTATGTCCAGATTGTTATTATACAGCATCAGCTAACAACTACCAGAGCTATCATACCCAAGGACATCAAAAAGGACCTACACCTACACGCTAAAATACCTAAAACAAAAATTTTTAAAAATTCATAATATAAATAAATAAATTAAAAAAAAACTTCATATCGAAATTTTAAATTAGAGTTATTTCTATTCAAAAACTATTTTTAAACAATTGACTTTACGATGAAACCGAGAAGAAAATTTTCAACAATTTTAAAAAGTAAACTTTGTTTGTTAAGGTTATTAACGACTGCATAAATATTACTATTTTTTATCATAAGTATAAATAAGTTTGTTTGCAGCATTTATAAAATTACTGTTTAAATCGATAAGTGAAAATATAATTTTATAGGTACAAATTAACACCAAATTTTTATTAAATTAAGATTATTTAAGTGTCATTATTTTTAAAAATTTGCAAAAGGTCCAAATGCATTAATTTGTACTAATGTTTATCGAATGCCAAGTCTCTCTATATATTCGTTTGCTTCTAAAGATTATAGCAAAAATAATTGCTTAGTTTAGAAATAAGCATTTAATTACTTAAGTTTGTATTAAATTTACAAATACCAGTGTTTATATATTTGCCAAATTTTTCACTGCCAATTATTATTGTATATGTATAAAAAGTATTGAAGTAATTGTTTATACGATATAGTATTTAATAAATTGTAAGATAATAGTAAGATGATTTTATTTTATTTGCATGAAATGACTTATAGATATATATTAGATGTTAAATATGAACAATACTATACACTCAGATTTTTAACACACACTTTATTTGGTAATTACAGACGTTTCGAGACCATGGTATGCCTCATCTTCAGTGTAATTTCAAAAACAGTTACTTATTTACTACACATTTTTTAATATTGTATTTAAATTACATTTAATTTTTGATATACAAAAAACACCAACTATCCCTTGCAATGCTTGACTCAGTACTAAAAACATGTGACACTTACAGAAATATTCTAAACATATATCTTAAGTCTTGATTAACAAAAATAAATTGTAACAAAAAAACAAATATATATATATATATATATATATATATATATATATCTTAAGTATCGAGATGGAGAACAGGATGGACATTTTAAAATTACACTGAAGATGAGGCATACCATGGTCTCGAAACGTCTATTATTACCAAATAAAGTGTGCCCACTAAACCAGTTACGTAATATTACGTAATTTTTATGTAAGAAATATGTAATCTACATTACGTAATTAAATATTACGAAAGAATTACATAAATATTACGTAATTTTCCTGAAAAAAATATTACGTAAGAAAAATGAAGATTTTATTTCATGTGTTAAAAATCTGATGAGTGTTGTATTGTTCATATTTAACATTTAATATTCGTTCCACTCATATCACAAAATTCTATATATATATATATATATATATATATATATATATATATATATGTACTTTAATGTAATCTCGTTTTTGCCTATAGAACAATAAAATTTTGTGAATTGATAAATTGAGTTTGTTTTGTCATATTTATTATATGCGAATAAACTGTTCTTTTCAGGTGAGAATATTTAATAAAATTCAAATTTCTATTTAAAATAATATTTGTTTAATAGACATCTTCTACAGGTAGTGTAATCCACTGTGCTGTGATTGTACTAATTATAAATAAGTATGTTTGTAAATGTATATTCTCATTTCAGTTTTAAAAATCTATGTATTACTATTCATGCTTTAATTCTCAATAAGTGTAAAACATGCAGTAATGTATAAAACGATATATAAATGTATATATTGATATTTCTTCAAAACCAAGACCATAATTGTATATGTAATCGCGTATAAATGAATCCAATGGGAATCCACTAAGATTCTTATGTACTTAAGACGATTGCATGCAGCGCCTCTATGCAAAAATGTTCCCAGTTCTTCGGGAACTACGTAGCGATTCGAATCCACTGATTTATATATTGATTTATACGTGATTTTATATATATACTAGCTGGCCCAGTTTGTATAGGAATCGGATATATACATGTATATATTGATTTATACATTGATACATGATTATATATGGTTATGATGATTATATATTGATACATGATTATATATGGGAATCGGGTATATAAATGTATCTATTGCTTTTCGCATCATTATATAGACCAAATTCGGTGCATGGCATTTTGCCTTAAGGCAAATGCCATGCACCATAATGGAATTTTAAATGTTTTCAAATAGATTATTATAATTTTGGGAGACAGACAGAAAAAAGTAAGTAAAACTGTAAGAAGTTTAAATGTTTATTTAAAATTTATGGAAAAAATAAAACAAAATACTTAATAAATTTTCTTGGGGATTCGAACTCGAGACCCAAAACAAGAACGATTACCATTGCACCCCCTGAAAAAAATGGTTAGAATATGATACATGTGTTAACAATTACTTCACATATCTCCCTCGCCCTTTTAATTGTCGAATAAAAAATCCTTATCGGATTCGAACCAGCATCCTTCAAACTAGAGTCTAGTTCGCGTTCTAACCGATTCGGCCACGACGACCAAGATTTTCGGGCGACTAATACTGGAAGGACATTCTTCGACGAAAGACCATCATGATTTGAGTCAAGGTCATAGGGGGATGATATGAAAAAATTAAATTTTTACCTAGGGGGTTGAAAGTGGGCTCATTCGATTCTGTGAGATCTTGCGAATTTCAAGCGGGCGGTTACAGGGGGGAAAATTTTGTCCGTTTTTCGCTCAGGAGACGAGAAAATCGACTTTTTGTGAATTTCACGTGTTTTCTATGGGAATTTTTTGAAAACTTTTTTCGAGTTTTTGCCGACTTCAAGGATTTGGTCAAGGTCATTTATTTGGATCTCAATGACGTGTCAAGGTCATTTATATGGATCTCAATGATGTAGTCAAGGTCAAGGATCACGTGATTGGGATCCATATAAATGACCTTGAGCAAATCATTGAAATCAGTAAAAACTTTTCAAAAAATTCCCATAGAAAACACGTGAAATTCACAAAAAGTCGATTTTCTCGTCTCCTGAGCGAAAAATGGACAAAATTTTTCCCCCTGTAACCCCCCGCTTGAAATTCGCAAGGACCCGAGGAATCGAATGAGCCCACTTTCAACCCCCTAGGTGAAAATTTAATATTTCCATATC